AAGATTTGTTTACTTTATTTTGAGATATTATTTTAAAATATGCTAAATAAATTGGCCATGGAAAAACAATGTCTGAACTTATTGATGCTTCATCTGTTACATCGAAAATTCGGTTGCCTCAAACAAGCTCAAGAAATGTACAACAAAGATCATCATTGGCCCAAATTTCAAATAATTCATCGGAAATTTGGTTTCCACAAACATGCTCAAGAAATGTACAACAAAGTTCACCAATGGTCCGAACCTCATATGATGATGAGATTACTCAACCAACGAAAGCTGAATTAGTTGGAATAATCAACAAACTGAAAAACCACAAAGCAAGTGGTCAGGATTTATTACATAGTGAATTCTTGAAGAATGACCCCATGTTATGCGCGGAGATTCTCCTCCCAATTATATCTAGGGTATGGCTTGAAAGGTTCTGTCCGAAAGATTGGATCACCGCCATTTTAATCAATTTCCCAAAAACTAAAAATCCTAAATTTGAAGATTGGAAAGGAATATCACTAAATTCGGTGGTGTATAAGATCTTTGCAAATGTTATACTAAATAGATTAATACCGTTAGTGGAACCTCTTTTTGTGGATTCATTGGTTGCGTTTAGGAGGGGCCGTAATGCATTGGAGGCGATCCTAGCAATAAAAATTCAGCTAGAGAGAGCGTTAATAAGGAAAAGACAATTGTTAATTGTTGCTCTAGATTTTAAAAAGGCTTTCGACTCGATAATACATTCCAAACTTTGGAGGACATTAGAGGAGGTAGGTACTCCTTTAGCTTTAATAAATTTGTTGAAATTAATTTATAAAGATTACTCTATGCAAATTATCCATGCGGAGAAAAAGTCTCCGAAAATTGTGATAAAGATGGGGTTAAAGCAAGGTTGCGTTTTATCGCATTTAACTTTATTATCAATCATATTATTATCAAAGTCAGAGATATGCACTTCGCTCAGTGGTCTTCAGGAAAATTAAATACTATAGCTTTCGCCGACGTTTTATGTCTAGTCGGTGAATCGGTGTTGGTTATCCAATCAGCCATAAATTGTATCATCATAGAGGCGGGACATTTTGGTTTAATATTAAATAAAAATAAGACAAAAATGATGACGTCCTATTATACTCCTTCACAGGTAAATTTAACTATAGATGGAAGTACGCTTACTGAAGTGACTACCTTAAAATACTTAGGTGTATTGCTGGATAAGAAGGGTTGTACTAAAAAGGATCAACAGTCTAAATTAAATAAAACCAGAGAAAAGTACAGGGCTTTGATGAAGATTGGTACTCACGACAAGTATCTATCCCTTTGAAGATTAGACTATTTAAAGTTCTAATAATGACTTCCCTTTACTACGGCGTAGAAACATGGAACGATACCAAGTCGGATAATAGCAAGATGCAGATATTTATTAATAAATGTCTAAGATACATAACTAGGACCTTTTACCCTCGTAATACTACAAATTATATGCTATGGGCGAGTTGCGACATTCTTCCTCTTCATAGAATGATAGAATATAGAAAAATTGAGTTGGTGGTTCATATATTAAGACACCCTTCGTACAATTTAATACATCAAGCCCTTATGAACCAATCTCAGGAAGACACTGCTCTTAAGCCTTTTTTATCCTATAAAGGCAGCTGGTTTGGAAGAATTATAGTTTTTGGTCGAACTAGACCTATCTTGGGAGTTTTTAAAGAGGGCTTCGTCGGACAGGAAAATATTCAAATATATTTTGAGACTTATATATGAGCATATGACAAATACCTGCTAAGCGAGGTAAAATTGATAAACTTTATTCATTAATGTATTTTAAGTTATTATTATTAAGACAGTGAGTTACTTTTTTGAAAAGAGGTTTTTAAGGTATTATCTATTAGGACAATAGGTTTTTAAGGAATTATCTATTAGGACAAATATTAGCTAAGCGAGGTAAATTAATAAATTATACTTATTACAAAGTATTTAAAATTATAAGCCTGCTATTTTCCTGAAAAGGGTAAAGGGATTTTATATTTCGATTTATTTTGGTCTTTTCAAATGTATCCTAATTGTATTTTAATTGTCAGACTACGTTTATCTATTTGATACTTTAAAAGATGATTAATCTTCTACTTTAAAGTTATAAATTAAATCGAATCAATTGTGATTTTAGTTTTAAATTTAATCAATTGCTTTAAGTAATAAATTAAATTTAAGCATAAAGATCAGAAGATACATTTTATTATCGGTAAAATGATAATGGCTCTCCTTATGTCCTTTATTGAAATAATTATATCTTAAAGTAACATTAGACGGTTGTATTTGGAAGAATTTAAACAGTTTCCTACATCTATCCTATTTCTCCTTATAATAATTTCTATCTCCTACTAAATCAAAATATTCACTTTATTGGAAGAGGGTTAGTTCCACTCATAAATTAGTTTCCCTAGGTACAAGGTTTGTAGGTATCCTGAGAAAAAAAACCGACATAATTATATGAAGGATAGGCCTTCTTATAATTCACGTTCGCTCATTTTTGGCAGGTCTATGACCAACGTGCAAGATAAGATTATTACTCCCTTCCTCTTCCTCTTCATCACTTTTAATATTAATCTAAAATAAATTTTTTAAATTAATATAAAATAAAATTAACCAATTCTATTAAAAGTAAAAATGGCAGATTCCTTGAGATGAATTGTGATATCAAAACAGTCTGGTTTATTGATAAACTCGGACATAATATTTGATGAATAATTATATATATATATATATTTTATTAATATTTTATATATATATAATTTTTTATTATAGTAGTTTTAATAATTTTTAATATATATATACTATATATTTAAATTTTATGCTAATATGAAATAAAATAAAATTTTCATTTAAGTTTTTATAATATAAAAAATCGTTAAATAAAAGTATATCTAAATGTATCTTAAAAAGTATCTACAACAGATATAGACACCTCTAAAATAATATCTAGATACCGATACTTTAACAAAAAATCTATCTAGATACAGATGCCACATTTTTACTAGATCCTTTAACAACTCTGGTAATTTAAAAAAAATTTTTAGGCCCAGCCAGGTATGTTTAAAAAAAAATAAAATATGGCCCGGTTCATTTTTTCAGAAAAAACTGTTTTTATCCCTAGTATAAAATATCAGATTTTGAGTAGGTAGCAATAAAAAATTTAACGTCGTTCTTATTCAGAGAAAATAATATTTATTATTTTTTTATAAAAGCTCTGTATTTCACTAATGTTTTGCCAAATATATATTTTTTTATTATCGAAATAAATTATAAAAAAAAATGTCAGCAAAAAAATCTAGAAATTTGTAAAAAAAAACATTTTGCTTCGCAAAAACAAAAAAAGATTTTCGTAATATGAAATTAATATTTTTTATTAGTAATAAATCAATCTCTAAAGGAGAGAACATTTTTGATAGATATAACCGTTCCGATATCATCTGATTTTTTATTATGTAAAGCATACTAGTTTTAATTTTAATGCATTCATTTACTCATCTCATATACTTTTTAATAGTATAACATTAATAATTTAACTAAAAGATAATATAAATAATTTATTAAATATATTATATACGGTCGGGCGAATTAAACAATAATTTTAATTTAATTAATTGGAAAAATCATACAATGGAATGTTTATTATATTCATTTTGTTACTCAAATTTTCTTTAAGTTCCTTTTGAAACAATTTATAAAATACAGTCAAAAAAAATACCGGGCCAGACTTGAAAAAATATTTTTTTCTAAAATTCGGGTAAGGTAATAGATATCTTTGCAGGTTTCTGATATTTAGGTTAAATATAATTTTTTGTTTGAATCAACTAGAAAGGCCTCATCTGGAGTCAATAAATAATGAGATTGTTAGACATGAATAGGATGATAAATAATACATTAATAATTATATTTTTTATGGGGAAAAAATTGATATATAATCTTCGCATTAAAGTATTTGCCGTGTGCGGTAATGTTTTCTTTAGAATATTTTTAATGTGATTATTCGCAGATCATTTCGATAAAATATAAATATAGATAAATCTTTATAAAATTTTATATGTATCTTAGATACAGATACAAGTATCTTTACCTTACCTTTATCAAAATTATTTTTACCCTGATAGTGATTTAAATTAATGATTTGAACTTTAATTTAATGGATCCTATCTTCACTATTCTTTATATTTGAAGGGTAATTATCCTTTATTAAAGAAATTAGGTTGTCAAAATGATACCAATTACAAGATCCTCTTAAGTACAAGAATTCGTGGTGCCCAACTCTGAAGACTGAATTAGTTTTTTTTAAATTCAGAAAACCTAAACCAACATCAAACTCGGCTAAATTTTGTCAGGTCCAGAATCCTGTTTAACTTTAAAACAACAAATTTATAAAAAAGTAAACTACAATAATTTCATCAACAAATAAATTTAATCTTTATATAATCGATGTTCTTTAAAAAAGTGAATAGATTAATCTGATCCATATATTTTAATCTATCACCTCATCCAACATTATGGTGTACAATTATTTAAATATAAAATTATCTTTCTTATACTTCTTTATATCACAATTTTATTTTTGTGATTTCATTTATTACTATTAGTGATCTGCATCGGGCGTAATTTTTCAGGCCTAGCCTGGCCAGATTTGTCCCAAAATAAAAACTATTTGTCCCGGTCCGGCCCAAATTTATTTTAATATAGAAAAGTTTAATTTTTTTTCATTTTAAAAAAAATATTAGTGCCATATTTTTTTCAAGAATTTTAAAATATATCAATTTATTTGACAAAATATAAAATCATATTTAAAAATTTAAGCCCGACCTGGCCCGGCCCGAAATTTTTAAAAAAATATTAGACCCGACACAGTCAAACCGAAATTATTTTTTTTAAATAGGCCCTGGGTTCGGACCGATTTGCAGATCTCTAATTGTTATACAACTTTTAAAAAAAAATTCATATTGAATAAAATCAATTCTTACCCATGTGAAATATCCTGCTCAGCTCTGGGTACACAGCGTGAATAATAAATCGCGTAGCGAGAGATTGGAATAAGTGATTTATAGTCCAATCCCAATTGTAATCGTCGTAAGCGCAAAAATCGATGGCAGATTTAAGATCAGCGAAAAATATATTGTATAAATTACGATTAAGCACCATCCCCATGTTGTGAAAGCTGGAACGCCAGAGCATCCTTTGGAGGTTCAACACTTTTGACATGTTCTTAGTCAAGTTATCATGATTAGATAAAATCATCCTCAGGTATTTTTGAAAATTATTATTAGGAAGACTTTTTTGAATCGATTCGATAGATGGTAATGAGTTAACGATCAGCCATTTTTCGGCGTAATTGCCCATTGAAAGTAAAGGCAGCACAGGAACCGATTCCAAATCTGTTGATAAAAAATGTGTATAGGTGGTAGGGTTAACGATGTTTAACAAATTTGTATGGGGTTGCAGCAAAAATTCCGGATGTTTTAAAGAATGTTGTTTATTAGATAGCAACGGCCATTCAAACAGATATTCTGTATTTTGGCTATAAGAGACACTATAATGATAGTTAGTATTATCGTTACTTGTATCATTTTTAATATTATAATGGTGCATATTTTCTGCTTTCTTATTGATTCTTTCATCGAATTTTTCCTTTTGATATTTATTTGGCACATATAACATGTGGTAAGCGTAAAGCATAGCATTTAAAATATCTGGTGAAACGTAATAATCTTCCTCGAGGAATAAAACTGGTCCTTGAAAATGAGAGAGTGATAATCTTGCTTTATCGTTTGATTTTAATTTAATCAATTCATCAGATAATTTTGACCTGTTAACATGTAATTTTTTGGTATCGTCTGAAATTTTGTTTTTACTTGGATCAATTTGAATTATATTTGTAGTAGCTGTATCTGGATAGAAAATAATGTTTGGGGATATCGTATTTGAGGCAATAGAGGCCAAAGATTTATTGTTTTTTATTAATTCTTGTTTTTGATAAAGATTTGGATGACTAAAAGTGACATTAATACTAGTAATTTGTGAGAATATAGCATTCAGTTTCCACCACCAATGGTGCTTGATCAATGATAAAGAAAACTTCTTATGAATGCTTGTCTTGACATGTGAATATGTTATGTTGAGGTAGTGACTGATATTTTTTAATAAATATTCCTTAAAAGTAACTGCACTAGAGTCTTCAATTTCACATGAATTGATCCAATTACCTAGAGATTTCCAAAGAATTCGATTTGGTTCGGCAAGTCGAGTTCTTATTTCTTTGGCTTCATGTGGTTCAGGTAGAAAAAGTTTTGAATATTTGTTGAATAATGACTCAACTTCAATTTTGAACTCTTTGGCAAATAACTAACAAAATTTGATTACATTTTTTTTCACTATAAAAGTTATTTTAATATAGAGGCATCATTATTTTATTTATTTATTGGTATTTAAGACAAGAGAATTTTTTTTATAGGGTACTCCTAAATGATATGGGTCATTCCATGACAAATCGATCATATTCAGCCAACCCCTTCCAATCTTTAAGAAATTTAGCATAAAAATTAAGTTTGCGTAACTTATAATTAGACAAAATCTTAACCTACTTTTTATATTTTTAGAGATGCCTAGCACCAGAAGCAGTAGCATAAAAATTACCCTTTTAAGAGTTAAATTTCATGTAATTAATAATGGCTAGGCTACCAGTGGCGTAGCCAGGATTCATCCATGGGGGGGGGGGGGGAGTACAAATTTTTTTAACCCTATTTTTAAATTTTGACAATATTACGTGCTTTATTAATATTAGTAACAGAATTTTAACAAAATTTATGATTAAAGCGGCTGGAAGCATTATTCTAAAAATTTTATCAATGTTTAGCCAATTGTAAATTAATACATCCAGTGTAAAAAGAAAATAAATTGTCCCCAAAACCTTCCATTTTTTTATGATCACTCAATATATCTTATTGAGTGTTAAAAATAATTATTTTAATTAAATTTTAGAGAATTTCATTATAGAATTTATTTATTATTAAAATATTAGTATAAATAACATCCCTTTATTTAACTATGCATTTATTTTAATGATAATATACAATAAAATAAATTTCAAAATGTAGAAATTTTATAAAGATTATTTTATTAAAAATTTATTGTAAATAACTGTATTTAAAAAAAAAATATAATTCAATAAAATATAAGTAATTTTTGTACGGTATTTAAAAAAATATAATTTAACAATTATAATTAATACAAATGAATTAAAATATAAATAATTCTTATTGCAAATGAATGCAATACTTTTATTAAAAATATGCAGGGAATCTAAAGTGCAATTACACATGAAAGGGCCTACAAAGCATTTTTTGGTCTCAAAGAGTATTCTATTCTATCAAGATTTTTATACCATTGATATCACAAAATAACTTATCATATTAATATCTTCTCGCGTTTCAAGTGTAATCAACAATTCAGACTCAACCGGCATAAGAAAATAAAAGCTTTTTAAAATAAAATTGTGACTAATAAATCTTTCCTTTAATTGAAATAAGAATGTATCAATAAGGGGAATAAAAATATTTATTTTATAAAAATCTTCAATCGTAGATGCATCTTAAGCGATTGGACTGTTTAGAAACTACTCTAGGTTTATAAATTTCAATCCCAAACATATTAGCGATCTCCTTTACTTTCTCGTATATTTTATGAAATTTTCGTCCACATTATCTCTGATATTTGTTAATATTTCAACAATATCCTTTGCCCTATTCATAACCTCCCTTAAATCCAAATCAATTTTTTGTATTGCTAAAATTATATATAATATTGAATTGATATTAAAAATTGTGGCTTCGTAATAGCTAGCAAAAGATTTTCAGCATCTACGGAATCTTTTTCCTTCCTTGATATTGGATTCGAGCGCTGCAAAAATAATTTCATATAATTTGATGAAATGTCTTACTGATTGTTGTCTTTCAATAAATCTAGTTGGACAAAATCTTTTTAGTATTTTTTTTTGATTATTTGAATCAATATCATCAAACGTTCGGATAAAAAGCTGTCTTGGGTGGTGTGAAAAAGTCTCAAACCGACGATAGTTTCTAAATTTTGAAAAATATATTACAATTATAAAAAGATATCTATAATACATAATAAAATCTAATAAATTCCAATTAAATTAAAATATATTTATGTACTGTTTCGGATGTTTCGAATTTCGTAGCTTCATATATAATCAAATTTAGGCAATGTGAACTAGAGTGAACATATAGAGCTGGGCTATAAAGCTCTCTAATTCTTGACTGCACCCCTTTAAAGTGACCACTGATCGAGGGAGCTCCATCATATCATTGGCCTTTCATTAGATTTAAATTCAAATCTAGGTCTTGAAGGGATAATAAAATTTCTTTGGCTATCGTCTTTAATTAAGTGTTATGTAAGTCAATAAATTGAACAAAAAGTTGCTTCATTTTGAAATCACCTGATTCCATATCAATAAACTTTACTTCTATGGATAATTTCTCTATGTTGCCAATATCCGAAGTCTCATCCGGCAAAACACTAAAACATAATGATGCTTTCACTTTTGTAGAAATTTCTCAATATGAACCTATTGCATATGGCTATTATTTCATTTTGAATACTTGGACTAAGGTAGGTGGCATTTTTGCAGAGCTTTCAAAAAGCTTTATAAAGTTATCATTATTATTGCATAAAAGTTTCAACAATTCCTTGAAATTCCCTTCATTATGAGAAGAGTATGTAAGTGTTAAGGGACCAGCAGATATTCTATGAGCTCTTAATGATAAGCCCTGCCTCCCTAACCAAATGATTGCATCAATTTTTATAATTGTTCTTGTATTGTTGGTTGTAACAATATCAAAATTTTTTAATCAAATATATTAGATATTGATAACTTTTGATTTATAGATGGCTTTTAAAGCATCCGATATCTCACAAGAATTGAGTGGTAAATATTTTAGTTCATATAATTTTTAATATATAATTTTAAACCATGTGATTTAAAATGAAAAATTCTTATTTGTTTTTTTTAAATATATTTCATTTTAATATCGTAATTATTAAAATTGAAACCGTTTATTAAATGAAATTATTCACAATATAAAAAAAATTTAAAAAAAATAATTCCGGAAGATATGGGGGATGTTTTAACCCCAACCCCCCCCCCCCCCCCCTTTGTCTACGCCACTGTAGGCTACACAACTGTAAATAGTAAATTTAGTATCGTAAAGCATTTACAAAATGTCAAAATTATATTGGCATCTTTTGTCTAGCTCCCAGAACAAAATTTAAAATTGTCATATGCTTAAAATGATAATCTAACATTGTTATTATATTAAACTAGACAATAAAATATTAATAAACTAGTTTCCGTTTATACGTTACTTTTTTATTTTAGAATTAGACTTGATAGAGAATGCTTTATCACATCTTTTGATTTTCATTATTCTTTTTTTTTGATTATGCGATGAAGAACTTTTTGTAATTAACTAATAGCAACCTAGCCATTATTTTTTCCAAATAAAGTGTCCAACCCCCTTTAAATATTATTAGGGGTGTACTGATACCATTTTTTGGAGGCTTCATATCTGATTTTGTATTCTGTAAACATACTAATCGTTTTAATTTCTAATGCATACATCTACTAATCTCATATATATTTTTTAATAGTATAACATCTATAATTTAACTATACCATATATATTATAATGATCAATTATAGTTATATTCATGCAGGCCGTAGGAGTTTGTTGTGGGAGGAGGATAATTAAATTATAAAATTATTCTAGGAGTATGGATATGTTCCATAAATTTATTAAGACTAGTATTGTTAGAAGGTTCGATTTGACCCGATTTTATTAAACGGCTACCTCAATATTTTATCAAAAAATAAAACGCCTGCCTAAAGTTTAAGCTCATAGATGGCATAAAGGTTTGGACATTTATTAGCAAAATCTCAAGGCTTAGGCAATATTTTTCTGGCTAAAATCTTGAGTTAGCCGTTTTTAAAAAAATCGGCTCATATTAACCTATTTAACAATACTACTAGTGACTATAAAATATTGACAATTTCTAATACACAAATTTAAATAAAATATAATTATAAAATATTAAATGTATATAATCGGCGTATGAATCATTATATAATAAATGTCTCGAAAAAGAACTTTGTATATAAACCTTTTCATATAAAATTTGATGTATAAATTTAAATTATATTTTTAAAAAAAATATTGGAAATATAGAATGCACAAATTATTGCATTTATATAAATTTCCAAAATATTCAGCAAAAAATGGTAAAAAATATAATTAGGAAGCATATTATAAATTTATAATGTAAAATTCAGTATTCTTAAGCTAATTTTTCAGTTATTTTATCAGTGCTTGGTGTTAACTCCCTATGTTAATTAAGAAGGGCTAACACCTATCCCATCTATTTTCAGAAATAGTACTTCTCAGTAATATTGTTAAACGTCTCAATTTGAACCGATTTTTAAAAGCGACTAACCTAATATATTATCCAGAAAAATATACGCTGGCCTGAAGATTTTGCTCATAGATGGCACAAAGGTTTGAGCAACTATTAGCGAAATCTCTAGGCTTAGGCATATTCTGGTTTAAAATCGGCTCCAATCGAGACATTTAACAACACTACTTCTCATGTATGTTTTTCTTGTTTAAGCGGGAAATTTTCTTTCATTAGTAGAAAAATATATAATAATTCTTACACATTAAGATAATAGTATTAAATGTGTTTGAAATTATTCGAAACATCTATAGCACTTTTTGGAACATTATCAACCATATTTAACCTTATACCATAGTTTGCATTCAGCTAGTAATGCATCATGGGATACTTTAACATCCTTGCAATAAAAATCTGCCAAATATTTAATTTTTTTTATAACAAGATTTGAAATAGATTCGGAAGGATTCCGCGGTAATAATATTTGCAGTTTTGTGATTAATTAAGAACCTTAGTTTAGTATCCAAGAGGGGGATAAAGAGATTTATTCTATGATATTCTTTGACTGACACTTTATTAATATTGGAACAATGGGCGCCTTACTGCGAGTCGATAGATAAACATTAAATTCATGGCTAATTTCATTGCCAATGCTGACTTTTCATTAAAATATTTTTGTTTGATAAATTATTTTAAAGTTTTATTAACATTACAAGATGATTATGCATTAAAAATTTACTGCTTATCTTATGGAAATTACAAGATATACACATTTATAACCATATCATTTTAATATTGGCACAGTCCTAACGAATTTAATAAATTGTCATTGTGTTTGTTAATCAATTTTTACCGATTCTTATAATAATTTTGTTATAAGTTTTAATTTTATATCGAAATTATATGATGTTTATGCATAAAAAATTAGCTGCCAGTCTAGTGCCAATTCTAATATAATAAACAGGTCATTTAAATATCGCCCCAGCCCTAAAAGTCATCTACATTTGCCCTAATTTCCTTAAGTTCCAATATAATGCTTTTTTCAGTTATTCTCAGTCTCAATCATATCGATATTATTTGTTTGAAATATTTTGCCTTAGTTTTGTAGCGTACGCGCCTATATTCATGAATCTAAAATTATATAAAATATTTTTATTGATAAATGACTTATTTATATAATAAAATTAATTTAAAACAAATATTAAAAATTTGAAATAAATATTTAAATTAATAATTAAATGGATTTTAATCTTATTTATAAAGATAAATGGTTTTTTAGATATAACTTTTTTAAAAGTTAACACGCGATATTATCGGATCAGATTGGATAATTTTATAATTAACCAATAACTGATATTTTAAAAAAGATGAAATATCAGCCTGATGATCCAATAAAAAATATCGTAACATCATAAATATTATGTTTTGATACTAAATTTTACAATAATCATGTCATTTTTAGTCAATCTAGTTAAATGAAAACTGATACTAGTTTTTAAGCTTATACTCTTTGAAATAAAAGTATAAAATCTAAGAGACAAAAGTATAAAAGCTAGGAGGCAAAAATTTGCCTACATATGTAGTTAACTGAATTACAACCCTTTGTTTATATCAGAGACTTGCAAAGGTAACATTTGCATGGCCTCTCAGATTATTTTTTTTTTAATTTTTTGGCCCAGGTATTATATTTACAGACCCAGCCCAGATATTTTATATTTTGGATAATAATGGTGATTCAAAATATTTGGCTTTAAAATATATGGCCCAGCCCAAGTATATTTAAAAATGGCCAGACCATGTATCCAGGCCAGTTAGTCTCTGGTTCATATAAACTAAATTCAAAAAAATCAAAGATTGATTTGTCATGGAATGACTATTTAGAAAAGGCTAATTTTCATTTTTTATTTTGCTTAATAAGTGCTAAAATAAATGTTTTAGTAATGTCCCACTAAAAATATTTTGATAAACTTAGACTCAAAAATGGTAGCATATATTTTAGGGGTACTAATAATCCCCCCCCCCCCCCATCAACAGCAATGTTATGTAAATTAAAATTAACTATACTTGATGAGAAAGTGGATAATATAATTTAATATATGGTGCAAATCTGACATCATCAATAATAGTTTCCACATGTTCTGAATAACAGTCCATGCTAAATATTAATAGACATGAAGAAAATCCAGTATTTTTTAGCGATATTATAAGATATTTTAAATTATCAGGACGATTATGAATTTGAATAACTATGAAGCAAGATATATGAAGATATTTCATGGATTTGTTTTTTCCAATATCATGTAATAGAAAATGATAATTGTTAATTTTTACATCATTTTTGTCTTGAACTAAAATACTATTGGCATTCAAATTAATGGCATCAATATAGTTTAAAATTGTTTGAAAATTCAGCATATATGAATAATTAAATTTGTTAAAATATTGATAAGAATCATTAGCTTCATATAAGCTACGGTTATTTTCAACATAGTATGTAGTTAATTTTACATCATAAAAATAATTTGCCAAATTCCATCTATGAGGAGTGTAAGATTCTAATGGATTTCTAGTATAATAGATAATAATAAACTCTGATAAAATTATTATTAAAAAAATAAGTACAAATTTGTAGGAATTAATTTTATAATTAATAAGCATCACAAATATAAACTATTTAAGCCTAAATTGAAAAAAAAATGAAAAATAAAAAGTCTTATTTTAGCACGTAGATCTAGATTACACATGTTTTTCATATCATTTTCATGATTATGATTCAACAATAAATTTTTTTATTGACAGGTTAAATTAAAATGATTACAATTTTAAAAACTATTTTTAATATATTTAAACCCTAATCATATCTCTCGAACCTTTAATCTTACACTATTGTCTAAATTTTTATATATTTCATCGAAAAAATTTCTTTATGTGACAGATTCCTAGAGTTAGGTTAAGTTGTGTTTGGCCAATTTTCTTTTAGATATCCCCTTTTTTCTTTTACTTCTCTCCAAAAAACATGTTGCTATGCCTTTTCCATCATTAAATTAGTAGGACATGTTGATTTATCTTTACTATCAATTTTATATATTTATAAAATTAAAACACAAGTGTCGCTTTGTCTTCTATTTTTTTTATGTTAATTGTATAAATTTTATCTAATGTTTTTAAATTATGTTATTTAACAAAAGAGATGTCCCCGTCTAGGTTACCTAGAAATTAATAAGAATGTTTTTATGCTAACATAATACGATTATTGTGCATAAATAGCGAAGTTAAAAACGAAATAGGGATGTTTTTTTTCTTAAAAAATTATTAATTCTGATAAATTATATTAATTGCTTGATTCGAATTTATTACCAAAAAATAAAGAAATTTCCCAAAAAATATATTGGTTGCTTGATTTTTCTCAACCAAAATAAAACCCTAAATACCATATATCGGCCCCGCGCCATCCCCAGAATAGGTATCTTAAAATCCGCACAAATCCTCCCCTGTGGAGCAATCCATTTTTTCAATATATTTTTAAATTAGGGCTAAAAATACGGGGGAGGTTGCCGTCTTGGTTATAAAATCAAAAATGGAACTTGGTTGCTATATAAAGGATTACGGATCAACTGGCTTAATTGTTCGATGGGATTTACCCTTTTTATTTAACCTAGCTTGATACCAGAGTACGACAATTGTTGTTTTTATACACTCAAGCCTGAAGGTTCTTTACGTTTTATTTGTTATCCCCGCCAGGGTCCCCCAGTCCCCTTCCCCGAAATTCCTGTCCATTATAAAGGACCATCACCCTCAATATGAAATAAGACTGCGCCTAGATCTTTCTTTGAAGCAACAATTGCAATGCCTACTGGTTGATCCTGGTTATAAAAATTTAACGTAGGCGGAGTACTTATCAGCTTTATCAAGTCATCGAACTTTTATGATGTGTACTATCCCATAACCATTTGTCTTTATTAACTATTTTGTATAAGGGATCAGCTATGTCCACAAAATTACATAGATCGATAATAGCGTGCCATCCCCAAAAAGTTGCCAATGTCTTAGGTTTCGGCATGTTTGAAATAGCTTTAATCTTATCTGCATTAGGATGTATACCTTTGTCGTCTTTATAGTCCCCAAGAAACGTAGTCTTTTCTTTAAAAATATACTTTTTGTAAAATTATGTGTAAGCCCATATTTTGATATCTTGTCAAATACCATTTTTATCTTATTAAAAATCGTCCCAACGTCGATATAAAATATAACATCTTTCATGTCCCCGAATATATTGTCCATAGTTTATTGGAATATTGCTGACGAAGTCTTTAATTCGAACGGACGTCTTGTAAACCTGTAATAGCCCTTGTGTGATGATATTGTGAGAAAATCTCTAGATTCTTTGTGTATAGGTACTTAAAGAAATGCGTTTTTAAAATCAATCTTTGTAAATCTTACCTTTAGATAATTTTGCAATTAAATCATTGATGCGTGGTATTGAGTACTTAAAATCTTCTAAAGCAGGGTTTATAATATTTTTAAAGTTAGCACAGCGCTGAAGTGAACCATCCCTCTTAAAAACGGGAGTGAGAGGACTGGCCCATCTAGCATCTTTGACAGGTTCAATGATTTTGTCGTTTATTCACTTTTGAAAAGTATTGGCTTTTTGTTAAGTTTTAAATTGCATTGCTTAATTAATTCTTGAATAGTATTATCATAATCTTCCTCGACTAGATTCACAAATTTATCTAGTATATTTCCAAAAATTGTTATCCAGATCCTTCCCAAAACTGCAATCTTGTCACTTTGGACCACATAAGCATTTAAGATTTGAGTTTTGTCCTCGAATTTTGCCTTGATTCGGACAGTACCTAATACTTTTATCATTTTTCCATCGTATCCAGTTAATTTTGTGTCCGATTTATTTAAGATTTTTATTCCAATCTTTCTTGCAATATGAATCGGTAGGATGCTGAACCTAGAACAAGTGTCTATCTGCATCAATATTGGCACGTCATTCAAATATACTGTAACTTTACATGCATCATTATCTGTGTTATCATTATCATTATCGACATCTATATTGTTTATGTCCAAATTATATAAATTATATTCTTTTTTCTCTAATTTATAATTATCATCTTCTTTTATATCTTCTATATTTACAGTGTTTACTTTGTTTGTGTATCGTGATTGATTATTATCGTTGTTATGATCTACAATTGCATACTTGATTTCTTCCTTGATTTCCAATATTATGATTATTGTTATGTCTTTGAATAAATCTTGAATCGTTACAATGTCTATTATATCTGTAATTATAATCATTATTAAATCTATGGTTATTATAGTTATTGTTATTATAACTAGTTCTATTATCAAATCTTGAAAAATTATTGTACGATCCTGGGTAGTTTGCCCTGACGTTGTTGTAATAACTCGCATTATAGTTCTGATATCTAGAGTTGTAACTATTTCTTTGATAATTATTTATTTGAAAGTCATGGCCTCTTGTTGTCCATCGTTGTCTGTTATCGTAATTATATTGTAAATTTTGTCTTTCGTCATGGTCTCCATATCTCACCATCTGTTTGTTTTCTTCTGTTTTCCTACCTCTTTGCCTTTCTAAATGTTTCACAGTTGTTTCATCTTCTGATTTTTCGTTTAAAGGAATATTTTCAACTTTAGAAATTATATTTTCTTTTAATTCTCACTCCTCAAAATCATCTCTTAAAGTAAGAATTTCTGCTAATGTAATGGTTTCTTTTAACGTAATTTTCTGTCTAATATGTTTGCTGATTGACGAAATTTTTACTTTTTCGATAGCCAACACTCATTTTTTAAAATGCATAATCTACTTATCCAATTGATGTAACTTGCATTTTTACCTTATACAGCTGCTTTAAATAATAATAAGTTCGAATTCCTCCGGTGTAATAACCTGAATTTTTCAATCAATATCGATGGATTGATAGTCGGTAGGTGAACATATCGATTTGAGCTTGATATAATCTTCGTCTGGTAATCTATTGTAAAAGATCCTTTTCCCCGGAAGTAATGACCTGAATTTTTCAATCAATATCGATGGATTGATAATCGGTAGATGAACATATCGATTTGAACTTGATATATTCTTCGTCTTGTAATCTCTTAAAAAGGATCCTGCTTTTTCCTACTTAAAAAAAGATCACCATTGCCTGAGTATATCAGAAATTTTTATATTTATATTAACATTATTATTAGGAACCTGATTCATATTTATTTATTAATTTACGATTTCATTGAGTATGTAGCGGACTACAAGTAGTTTAAAGGAAAATTATATATAAAAAAACAATTACAACACAATAATGATGACCTAAACACTAACAGAATTTATTTATTTCAAAGACATTTAAGATAAAATAATTAAATATATCTGCTTTGTCCACTTAGCTTATAGACGTTTAAATGTAAGTTCATTAAACTGTTGTGCCTACATGTACGTACGGGTTACACACAAACGTGTAAAGGGCTTCTCATATTTTACTTGATATATCGATTAAAATTTTTTATTTTTTTTTAAATTATTTTTTTTAGGAATATCAATTTTATATTTATTGATTTCTCGGAATTAATATTATTTTCTTTTTTATCAATTTTGTTTATCTATTTCTCAAAATTGTGACTATATTTATTTTAACAATTTATTATCGATTTTCTCAGATTTGTGATTTTAACTTTTTTTGAGAAAAAAAAAGAAAAAATAAAGTTGTATATATAAAATAAAAGTTAAAAAATAAAATATGAATAAAACATAACAATGATGAAATATAACAATGGCTACACTATGAAAACATAACAATTGCGACGAGAAAAAAATCTTAAATTCGATATAAAATTATCTAAAATGCCAACATTGATTCCTATTAAGGAAAACAACAATTCATTCAGAACATTTCGTATCAAATTAGAAGCATATTTCACATTAAACGATATATTGGACAATAAAAAAAAGGGCAGCACTCATATCGGCATTATCAACGTATGACTTAAATAAAGTTATTATTTTAAAATTCGCTCCTAAGTCCATTAATAAAATAAAATATGACGATATGCTAGATTCTTTAATAGCAACGAAAAAAAAATCGCAACGAGTTAATATTTCTTAAGGGAATGTCAATGTTGATTCCAATTTAAAATAATGAAGATTCTTTCGCAAAATTATATATAATAAAATATGTGAATAATCGCGAAATTTCTAAAAAATATTTATCAATGATGAAATTTACAAAACAATTCGAAGAAAATTTTACTAATTATTTTCTAAGACTTAAAGCGCATTTTGCGGTAAATAATATTACTGACGAAAAAAAGGAAAAAGCGGTAATTATTCTCTCATTACAATCCAGCGATATATATATATTAGTTCAAAAGGCTGTGCCTAAAAATGTTATGGATCTAAAGTATAAAACAAGAATACAAAAATAATAATATCAATGAAATGGATAAAGAAAATAGAAGAGTCAGTGATCAAGTACTTCATTCAAAAAAATTACCAGATTTTATGCCTTGTCAAATGATTTCCATTAAGATTCCGTAGATTCTTACAGTTTAGCACTTTTGTCAAGTATCGAAGAAAAAGAACAAGTCACATCGAAACGGAAAAAAGTTCAAAGGATTTATTTTCAAAGAATAAATTACACGCTAAAACCGCGAATAATTTTACATGAGTGTAATAAAATTGATATAACACCCAAGTCTCCAACT